AGGTTAAGAGAGGTCACCCGGATATGGTTCCCCCTAGACTGCAGTTAAGCCGGATTGCAATTACCAAGTTCAGTTTCTATGATAGTTATATTGCGGAAGGTTCTCAAACAGCCTGATGTCTCGACTAAAGGTCTTCAGACCCTCTCAATCTGAGTCTCTAGCGGGCGACTAACCTCCACCGGAGTAAACAGATTGAGGCCCTATGAACAAAACCTCCACTACCGAAGTGAATCCGGTATAGATATTCTCATTCTAGGTTAAAGCATAAACAACAGGAATTTGATCAGGATTCATGCCATTCAATCAATCAAACCTCAATTGAATATAATCAAATCATAGAATTAGTACTTGGGTTCATACAATCAAACCTAACATACAAATCTAGGGTTCTCCATACCCAGATGAATGGGAGAACTACTCCATGGAGAAAGAAGCAAAAGCATAATCAGACGCGGAATTCATACTGTGAAGGATGGATTCCTGCTCCTGGACGTTGATCGTCACTTCTCCAAGCTCAAATTGGCCTCCAATGGTGATGAAGATCAAGCTAGGGCACTTGGAGACTCTTGTTCGTCGCTTTCTCTCTCTAGGAATTGCTCTGTCTCTCTAAAACTCGAATCCCCCTCTCTTTTGGCTGAAATCTGCTTAAAAGGGCATCACTGGGCAAAGCACGGTCGAGGGCACGGCCGTGCTTTGCTCCAGCCTGCCCGTGCTTTGGCTAGGGTTAATTACACGGCCAGCCTGTTGGGAGAAACACGGCCGTGCTTTGGTGGACACGGTCGTGTAATTTCTCAGCCCTGCCCGTGTTTTGGCTCGTGTTTGCCAAACTCAAATTAGCTCTCGGCAGTAAAAGCACGGCCGTGTTCTGCTTTAGGTGTGCCCGTGTTTTGGCTCCAGCTCTACCGAATGACTTCCAAATGCCCCGAAACTCGTGCTTAGCCTTTCCTTTGACGCCTGGGACCTGAAATATGACAAAATAGCACAACCCGGCATAAAATAGGCCAAAAATACACGACTATGTCCCTCAAACGGATAAGAACTAGGGGTGCAAATACGTGCAATTACATCGTTATTAGTCGGCAAGCGATTGATTAAGTATGCAGCCGACAGAACATATTCTCCCCAAAAACGAATAGGCAAAGATGCTTGAAAACAAAGTGTCCGGGCTACCTCAAGAAGGTGACGATGTTTTCTCTCTACAAAGCCATTCTGTTGGGGCGTGTCAGTACAGGAGGTCTGCAAGACAATACCATGCTCCTCATAATAACGTCGAAGGTCATGACACTGAAACTCAAGGCCGTTATCCGCCTGAATGCGCCGAACCTGGCGATCAAATTGAGTTGAAACAAACTGACAAAACATTTGAACATAGCGGCTGACTTCAGATTTAGAGCGATGTAGATAGACCCAAACACCTGGACTAAAATCATCAACAATAGTCAGAAAATAATGTGCTCCGCTTATAGAAGCAGTACGATATCCACCCCAAATATCCATGTGTAATAACTCAAAACAAGCAGTCGTACGAATGGAACTAGCAGGAAAGGGGGTGCGAACTTGCTTCGCACGTGAACAAGAATGACAAACTGTGCTAGGTGAGCGAGAAAAAGAAACAACGTGACGTAGCATCTCCATCTTCGAGGGTGAAGGATGGCCGAGCCAAGCATGGACAATACCCTCAGAGGGAACACCAGTCTTGGCGACCGCATGAGCTCGAGCATACCTACAACCAAACAAGCGGAGATAATAGAGACCTTCACGTATCTCCCCCTTCCCAATCACGTTCTTCGAGTCTAAGTCCTGTATGACGCAGAAATCACCCATAAATATTAATGCCACACGATGTTCCTGACATAACCGGCTGACGGACAATAAGTTACAGTGAAACTCAGGAACATGAAGAACTCGTTTTAGACTGAGGCCCGTATCAAACTGGACAGAACCAACGCGGGCAACCGGAATGCTAGAGCCATTCGGAATGCGAACAGGCTGACTGTGAACGTTAGACTCATAAGAAGAAAAAATAGATTCACTCATGGCAATATGTTCGTTGCACCCAGAGTCTATCAGCCACTCAGAGTCAACAGAGGAAGAAAACATACCAGCCATGTTGCTAACGGGGTCGGAGGGACTCGGGAAGGAATGCCCAAAAAACTGTTTTAACTACTCAAGCTGCTGCATAGTGAATCCGGACACCGGGCTAGGTGTGGCCTTGGCCTGAGATACCCGCGGCTCAAGAGGTCGATTGCCATCACGATCACGTTCCCGGCGACGAGCACTACGATCTCCGCGATCCCCCGACTTGTCGCGCGGTGGGTAACCAATAAGCTCATAACAGGTCTCCCGCATATGACCGACCTTTTGACAATGTGAACAGACGATGCGCTCCCTATCACCGGAGGAGCGATCACGAGGCCCAGCAGCCGAGTCGCGGCTAGCACGGCGATCTCCGCGTTGATCCCAGACTTTGCGAAGACTTGTGTAAAAACTGGAGACCGTATGTTTTTCTTGCTGAAGAAGGCTAACGTGGCGACGCAATTCATAGGCGCGTGTGAGGTTGCCTTTGATGAATCGGTCACGGAGGTCCTCCCATACCTCCTGCGTCGTTTTGGCGTGCATAACGCTGCTCCTGATCTCAGGATCCATGGCTGTCCGCAGCCAGCCTTTTACAAGCGCGTCACAACGTAGCCATTGATGGAGGTCAGCGGAGCCAACCTCGGGACGGGGAGTTGATCCGTCGACAAAGCCAAGCTTGTGCTTGGTCATAAGCGCATCGGTCATCTCCAAAACCCATTCACCATAATTGGCGGGTGTCAGGGGACTGCTGACCTGAAGATGACCGGTACTGTCAGATTGATTTATGAAAAGAGGGCTGAGGGCATCAATATGAAGCCCGCCGAAACCACCAGAACCGCCGAAACCACCGGAAGCACCAACGGTAGATTGCGGCGATCTGTCGCCAGTGAGAGCCGTCGAGTCGTCACCAGCCATTGTATCAACCTGCGATCGAGCTTCACAGCTCTGATACCATGAGAAATAAGGAGCTTAGTGCGGAAATGAAATGGACAAGAGCGATTTATGTGGTTCCCCGTAGGTACGGGACTAGTCCACGGGAGAGGAAAGCCTCTCCGGTTTGTGTTCTTTTATTATCAGTGAGTTACATGGCCAATGGCCGTACACAAACCTATATACCCTGTTCGACTATCATCTAGGGTTACATGGGAAGACAAGGTGCAGCCGCTAGCTACGGGCGTGTGTCTGGGCTCGGGAGAACTTGAGGAACGGGCCAAAACCGTGGGCCGAGTGGGCCGAATGTCCTCTAATAGCCTGCTTATCTGATATATAATATGCTTATTCTTTTATAAACTGGCGTCTAGAGTTACTGGAGTATTATTCTGTCTTTCCCGTATGGATGGAAATAACCAGTTTTGAACAAGATTATACCTTTCCGCAACTGCACGAGCTTTCTCTACATCAACAGTGTTAAGCAAGAAGGCCATGTACTTTATCCAGATGAAACTACTATTAGGAGAGCTTCGAAGGAGTTTCTCAAACTCAGTTATACATCCTGTGTTCCATGTTTCACTGCTCAAGAAGGCCAGAGTTAATTCCCCAGTTACAGTGCAGCTACTCTTACCTGAAGTTGACGATCAAGGAGCACTCAAGCTAGCTCCTATTGCCATTCTGGCCAGGAAGATGGTCGCCAGGGATAACAAGCCAGCAACACAGGTACTCGTTCAGTGGTCACATCAAGGCAAGGAGGATGCTACGTGGGAGTTTATGCCTGAATTCCAGCAGCGTTTTCCAGATTTCCAAGCTTGAGGACAAGCGTTTTCCAACCGACGGATGAAATGAGATAGAAACAGAAGTTGAGTGACTAAAATAGATATTTTACACTCTGTATAAAAGAAATACCGCGAGGACCGTTGTAATCACTTTTTGCCTGAAATAACAACTTTACCTTTCCCTCTCTCTCTTCTTCTTCCCGAGCTTCGTCTTCCTCCCTGTCTCTCTGATTCTTCTTCTCCTTCCCTGAATTCACCAATCGCCAAGGCAATCGATCCTTCAAGTGGTGACAGTTTGTTTCGCTACTACTTCTTAACCGTCAGTAAAGCTCGTCGTCTACAACAAAAAGAGACTGTTCCTTGGTATTTTGCGACGAAAATTTAGAAAGAGTTTCGCAACCGGCGCTAAGCACAGCCATGTACCTGGAGCCTAACCCTTCCGACAACGAAAATGACTTGCCAGCGTCGATAAATTCTAAAAATCCGGAGGATGGTTTTTTTAATTTGTTGTGAGCAAGTTTGTCAACCCAATTTAACTCATTGGTCCAATCGAACAAATGCTTTGAGGGTCGATGGTTTACCGCTCATCTAATGACATTAGACTGTGTAAGGTTGTCAAGCAAATAAAAATTGAGTTGGCGTCTTGAGACAAATAACTGTTCACATTTCATAACCCTCTAAACTAACTTGGCTTGTATTACAACTTTATTCTTATTACGATTATATTACCATATGCTAACTTGCTTATCATAGTTCATTAAGATAATTTCGCCTCCAGCTGAACGTGCTCAGAGATTGGCTGATTCCGAGTCTAGTGTCTATTTGGAATCGATGTAGATAAGATGCAAAATCCAGTGTCAAAACCAAATACTTCAGAATACACAGAATGTCTTTCTGTGTTCCTGCGACGGATGGTTCGACAATAATAACTCCTCAAGCCTCCCGACACCACATAAATGATCACATACTTGACTGGTAAGCAGCAACAAGCGAAACACGTACTTAAGCAAACTACAAGAACCAAGTCTATGCTGGTAACTAAAAGTTACTGCACGGATTAAGGGAGACGAGTGCACGACGGCTAGACTGGTGTTTCCACCCCCTGTTTACATGTCCCAAACCAAGGGGAGGTTCCACTGAGCCAAGCAACAATACAAAACATAGTCAGTCAAACAGATAGTGGAGAGCGCAGCAGCATTACACAGAAGCCGGCACTCAGTACTGGCTCCTTCTAGAATTTGCCCGGCTGTGAACCACCTGCATTGCAAAACCATTTCCAAACTAAGGAGGAAGCACGGCACAATAAAGATAGCAGCAGGAGATAATTCTCATACATGTGGCTTGCATGCTATGAAAATGTTATGATGCTTCACAGAGAGCAGACACATCCATTCAGTTCAACTTGTAAGATTCACAAGATAAACTATGCAGAAGAGTAAGTGAACGTAGAAACTGAGCAAGATGTTATGACCTGATCAGCTCGAACTCCATGACTTGACGATGATGACGATGGTTCTTCTGCCTGATCACCCTACCAATAAAACAATGACACGCCATGTTGAGAGTAATGTTCCACAAAAGAGTATTGGTGAAACAAAACCAAGTTGAATTTACCTGGTTGAAGTGATTGTATCTTGATTGCACAGGAACCCCCATCTTCTGAAGCATAAGCTCCATGTTTGAGTTCATCCTATCAATCTGTGCTTCCATTGAGGTATACTTTTGCTTCATTACCTCGACTTTACTGCAAACTGCCTCAACTTTATTAAAAATCTTGTTTGCCTCCTCATCAGCTTGCCTTTTGGTTTCCATGGCCATTTTTGCAAACTGGATATGGCCACACTTTCTTCCCCAAAGAGTAGCAGGGCTAGGTCCTCCTAGACCATACATGCTCACATGCTTTTTATTTCCTTCGTCTGTAACTTTGAAGAAAGTGTCATGAGAACTATCACTGACTTCAGAATTTTGCTGCCTCCGACTAGTTTTTTCTTGCAATTTTTCCTGAGACAAAAGGGAAAAATACCAAGTCTTCATGTTGTAACTCATAATTATAACCACTGATTTATTAACTGAGTGAAATTCAGAACATACAAATACTTCTGCAGCATCCTCATTTACAGGATTTCCATCCTTTCGTGTATGGGTCAGCACAAACAACTCTGCCCTAGTAGGAGTCTTCCCATCCGCCCTTTTTGCACGCAGCTCAAAATGCACACACAAAAAATACCACAAACATTAGCATTTGAACAAATAGTAACTACATGAGTGTGCAATTTAATTTCAGCGACGCACCTCTTCCTCTCGTATGGTTGCGTAACTCTTTGAGCCGGAGGTGTGTGAATGCTTTACATGAGCACGATTTGCCCTATTCCTAGCACAAAGCAACTATAAAAAGAAACATCATTTCAGCTTCTGACTTCATAAAAATACATAATTATGTTGGACCTCATTTTCCCCCTACCCACATGACATACCTTCACCTCTTCCTTGTTCCAATAGGATACGAGGCTTGGCCACTGGTCTGGAATGACTCTTTTGTCGAGATTCCTCATGCGTTCCTCATCAGTCTTGCATGAGAAATAATATGTTTTCAACCTTGATTTCCAGCTCTTCCATTTTGAAAAAAGAGACTTCATGACCCAAGATTTTGCCATGGGATCAATCTCGAACTTTGCCTTCAAAAGACGAAGAAAAGGATAAATTTAAAGACAATGAATCAAAGGTCGCAGAAATTGTACGCCTTCAGATATGCTCCTCTCCATATTTCGGCAATAAATAATCTGGCTTCAAACCAGTTACCTGAACCAACTGCCACATGTTTTCCTTGTTTGCTTTTGGCAATGCAGCCCATTTCACATAGTTAAGGGGAGCCAAGGTGCCATCCCGTGCCAGGGTGCCCAGAAATGAAGCCAGCTTTCTTCCTTCAGAGCCAATTGGTTGTCCCAAATCATTAAGGTGAACAACCATTTTGCTACCATCAGGCATGTCCCACACAAAACGACACCGGGACGGGCCTCGTACTCGCCTCTTTGAGCTACGAATGGCTGCTAATGGACTGTCTGGGCTGCTGGAATTTCCAGAATACTCTGGGCTGGATTATGAAAGGAGGGGGTCGCAGTTCCCATCTGATAACCATCCCATTCAACTTGTCTCTCGCCCCTCAAGCCATTCTCACCTGACAAGCATGAGTTGATAACTTAAATTAGTGAAAAAGGCTTGTTAGACTGAAGGACAAGCACACAAGATAGTTAGAAATCTCATCACATGGCACAGCTGTTACTCTTTAGACTATCCAGTCGAAATAAACTACATACAGCCTAACAAATGCCCATATAACTTGTCTGCAAAAGGTGTACCTGAAGTACACTACAGAAGACAAAGATACAGAAGAACGATAGGCAAGATAGGGACAAAAGAGAAGCATACCTCCAGCATGTGAAGCTGTAGCAAACTGCTCAGAGTGTTGTGGCTGTGCAATGCTTCCCTCATGTATCTGGGATACATGTCGCTGGCTTTGACTCGCTGGAGGTGGTTGTGGTTGAACTTGATTCTGGCTGATAACTGTGGGATTAACTGCATCTGTAGACAGAAAGCCATTTTGCCCCAAATTACTCTTAGTGAACGGCCCATCTGGAAATCCTATGTAACAAAGGAAACAGAATTCCTTGTAAGTGCATAATGCAACATCAGCATTACAGCTCCAGCATCATAAGAACCTGGAGAGTTTATATTCACATACTTGCCCCATCATTCTCTGGAGCAAGAGAACGAGCTGGTTGATTCGACTTCAGCATTTTCTTCTTCCTCATTTTCCTTTGGCTGTGGCGGCGGTGATGGCTGACGTGGAGTCGGTCGCTGTTTCCTCTTTGTTGTTTTAGTCCTTGCCAATGCCATTGATAAATCCCTGCACATACAAATACCCAGATCCTATCAAACAACTATCCAAAGAAGTCATAACTGATATCATGCTCAAACAAAACCAATATCAAGATACATCAAACAACAACCCAGGCAACAAACAACAAATATCCAGAAGGACCAGAACGCATATCTTGCCGAACAGAACAAATATCGGAAGGAACACAAAGCAAATCCACAAAACCCATAAATAACATCCATAGAAGAACGAACACATATCCAGTGACACATATAAATTACCACAAAATAAATATTTCACCCACGAACCCAAAAGACAAATCCACAAATGGAAAACCCGATCGTAGCCATGAAACCCTAACTCAAATCTATCCAAACGAAAATGAATATCCATGAAGACAAATCCACAAAAGGAAAACCCAGATCAAATCGTAGCCATGAAACCCTAACTCAAATTTGTCGAAGCGAAAATGAATATCCATGAACAAAGTATAAATAAGACAGTTACCTTAGTCCAAATCCCGCCGATTCGTCTGCAATGTCGCCGTCGATTCGTCTGCAAAGTCGCCGCTGTCAACACAAGCATCGCCGCCGTGAAACCCCGCCTTCGTCGCCGCCCTTCGTCTCCGCCGAAATCCCGCTTCAGTCGCCGCCGCAGCGCTCGCTGCGCAGGAACTCGCCGCCGCTTCGGTCGCTGCCGCTTTGCTGGTCCCTCGCCGCTTCGGTCGCTGCTTGGTCGCCGCCTTGCTTCTTCGTCGTTTTCGTGAGAGGAGGAAAGTGAGAGAGAGGGGAAGCGAAGTGGGGGAGAGAGGGGAAGTCGAACTGGCGAGAGAAACTGAATTGGGGAAAGTGGGAGAACAGTTTATGGTTTTTGAATTTGTGGGCTCGGTGGGCTTGGTCAGCCGTGGGCTCGACCAGCCGACCCAAACCGGCTCACCTTCCTCAACCCAAACCCGGCGCCATCTTCCCCTCGCCCACGTGGACAATAGATCCACCGTGTGAGTATCTACTCACACTTTATGCTGTGAGCAGCATAACTAAGTTGAAACTGGAGGAGCTCCCAAGTGTGTTACAAATTGAAGAGGAGTGTTAGAAATGGTTGGGAGTGGGAGGTGGGCGTCATTCTTCTTCGTCTTCCGCTGGTTGCAAGTTCCAACAACCCAAATTTTGCATAATTCAACGAAATAAAGAGTTAATTTTAAAACCGACGATGATAAGCATGTGGACTGCCGGGCGACGCGAGGCCGGAAGTAATCAGGCCCAATAATTACGAACATGGGCCGAACAACCGCATGGGCCGAACACATTAGGGGAACCAGTCGTCGACCAAATTGGCTCTAATTACCACACTACCCCCACTTTTGAAAAGCCCGTCCATGGACGAAACGGTAAAATCTGGATCCTCCCTCCTTACAAAAACCCTAGAGACTCTCATTCTGTCATTCACTCGCCCGCTTCTATATCTGCGAGAGAAACCTAGCAGCAGCTGCCGTCGTCCCCTGTTCTTGCTCTTTCTTCGCTGATTCTCCTCTAAGCTTCGTGAGGTTCGTTCTGCTCTCTTCTCCCACTGCCGTCTCTGGTTCCTTTTTATTCTTGTTGTTGATATGGTTGATCCTGAAGTGAGCGGTGTTCATGCTTTCTCTTGCTTGTTGTTTGGTTGTGTGGTGACAGAACCTGTGGAGAGATCGATCTATAGATTTTTTTTCTGAGTGATGTTAGATGATTGTTTGTACCATTTCCGATTTCGTGGTCTCCTAGCGGAAACTGATACTGTGTGGATAGCTTGATTCTGCACGACTCGTGCTTTTCCTGTTTTTGGGATTGTCTGTTTGATTTCTCTTAGGAATTGGTTTCTAATTGCCTTTGAGTAAGATTTGAACTACTAGGGTATTAATTGGATTGTGGTTGCAGATGATAGTTGTTCCCCTTTGAGATTAATTTGCAGTACCGATTAGTTGGGTAATGGCTTGATGAACAGAAACTACAAAACTATGGCCCAATATTTTCGTACGATAAATTTGGTTATGCTGATGCTATTTGTAACTATGATCTTCTTGCGTTGCTATTTTTGATGTACCAATTGGGTTAGATTGTCCATTGTAGTTGGTCATTTAGGGTTTGTTTCATCTATTGAGCCAATTGAATTTTCTGCTTGCGGTATTGGTACCACAGATCCCTGATCTATCCAGGAAATTTACAACTGATATCATGCTGTTCACAAACCAATATCTAGCTATATCGAACAATTATTCAGGCAAATAACAACAGATATCAAGCTGATGAAAAACCAACATCCAGATATGTCAAATAATTATCCAGGCAATTCACAACTGATATCAAGCTGATAAAAACCAATATCCAGAAATATCAAAGAAACAATCCAAGCAATACACAATGTATATCCAGAATCATAATAAATAATATCGGAACGCACACAAAACATATTATAACATGTAGCAGAGATTTAGAGTGCACCGAAATCTGTACCTCGCCTTGCTTTTACCTCGAGCTGCTCCTTGTGCAGCTCCTTCTGCTTCAACTTCAGCATCTTCTTCTGCAGCTCCACTTGCTTCGACTTCAGCATCTTCTTGTTCAGGTCCACTTGATTCGACTTCAGCATTTTCTTCTTCCTCATTTTCCTTTGGCTATGGCGGCGGTGATGGCTGACGTGGAGTCGGTCGCTGTTTCCTCTTTGTTGTTTTAGTCCTTGCCATTGATAAATCTCTGCACATACAAATACCCAGATCCTATCAAACAACTATCCAAGGAAGTCATAACTGATATCATGCTCAAACAAAACCAATATCAAGATTCATCAAACAACAACCCAGGCAACAACTAACAAATATCCAGAAGGACCAGAACGCATATCTTGCCGAACAGAACAAATATCGGAAGGAACACAAAGCAAATCCACAAAACCCATAAATAACATCCACAGAAGAACGAACACATATCCAGTGACACATATAAATTACCACAAAATAAATATTTCACCCACGAACCCAAAAGACAAATCCACAAATGGAAAACCCGATCGTAGCCATGAAACCCTAACTCAAATCTATCCAAACGAAAATGAATATCCACGAAGACAAATCCACAAAAGGAAAACCCAGATCAAGTCGTTGCCATGAAACCCTAACTCAAATTTTTCGAAGCGAAAATGAATATCCATGAACAAAGTATAAATAAGACAGTTACCTTAGTCCAAATCCCGCCGATTCGTCTGCAAAGTTGCCGCCGATTCGTCAGCAAAGTCGCCGCCGCCAACACAAGCTTCGCCGCCGTGAAAGCCCCGCCTTCGTCGCCGCCGAAATCCCGCTTCGGTCGCCGCCGCAACGCTCGCCGCGCAAGAACTCGCCGCCGCTTCAGTCGCGGCCGCTTTGCTGGTTCCTCGCCGCTTTGGTTTGCTGCTTGGTCGCCGCCTTGCTTCTTCGTCATTTTCGTGAGAGGAGGAAAGTGAGAGAGAGGGGAAGTCGAAGTGGGGGAGAGAAGGGAAGTCGAACTGGCGAGAGAAACTGAATTGGGGAAAGTGGGAGAACAGTTTTTGGATTTTGAATTTGTGGGCCAGGTGGGCTTGGTCAGCCGTGGGCTCGACCAGCTGACCCAAACCGGCTCACCTTCCTCAACCCAAACCCGACGCTATCTTCCCCTCGCCCACGTGGACAATAGATCCAGCGTGTGAGTATCTACTCACACTTTATGCTGTGAGCAGCATAACTAAGTTGAAGCTGGAGGAGCTCCCAAGTGTGTTACAAATTGAAGAGGAGTGTTAGAAATGGTTGGGAGTGGGAGGTGGGCGTCATTCTTCTTCGTCTTCCGCTTGTTGCAAGTTCCAACAACCCAAATTTTGCATAATTCAACAAAATAAAGAGTTAATTTTAAAACCGAGGACGATAAGCATGTGGAATGCCGGGCGACGCGAGGCCAGAAGTAATCAGGCCCAATAATTACGAACACGGGCCGAACTACCGCATGGGCCGAACACATTAGGGGAACCAGCCGTCGACCAAATTGGCTCTAATTACCATACTACCCCCACTTTGGAAAAGCCCGTCCTTGAACGAAACGGTAAAATCTGGATCCTCCCTCCTTACAAAAACCCT